TGTGAGTCTTGGGCTTTTCCCTTCTTACCTGTCAGAGCTGCCTCCTTTCACTACCATCTGGCTGCTTGTCGGGCCACTCCCAGGAAACCTGTCTTCGTAGAGGAAGGGCCACAGGGCCTAACTCCTCAAACCCTTGTCACTGACGCCTGGCAGAAATAGGTTGGATCAGAGGCAGCCCGTTTTCCTCCCAAAAGACTTCAGAGCTGTGGACTCTGTATACGCGCTGCACGGTTTCTTGATACGTTACCTTCTAGGGCTTTATGATTCTCGGGGTCAAAATCCTCAGTGTCCAAGCACATTCTCTATTGCTTTAAAATACTGCACAACAGTTATTTATAGAGAGAGCCCTGCTTTATTTCCCATTTCTCTGCTGGGCACCATGAGGTACAAAAGCGATAAAACGGAATTTCTGACCTAAAGAGCATATAATCTAGTTGAGAAAATGTGACAGCCACATGAACTAATTCCTAAATAAGGAGCAGTTCTAATAGTATGATGACAATGTGTCAAGCTATAGTATTTATAACAAATTGTGAGGTATCTATAATTAGAGAAGAATCTATAGTAAGAATTTGTTTAGTAAAGGCAGTCAAAGGAGTTAGATGACTGCACATCCCGGGCGGTTGTATCGTTCCTGTTTATTAGATAACAATGTGCACCCATTTGTAATTGCTATTCCCAACTTATTTTATAGTTATAACCCCTTTTTAACAAATACGATTATAGCAGCCAGTTCTATGTCATAAAAATATTCTGCCGGCCAACCCCCCACACTAACACTCTTTGGCTGATGGAGATCCAAGACCCCTTTTGAAGGGAAGACCTGGTATGAGAGAGACAGTTGCTAATCCCTCTCCATTTGGCAGTACACCTACTCGACAAGAAGGTCATCCTTGCAGCAGAGGAGCGACATAAAGCATACGTTTGCATATCGGGACAGTTGTTAAATAACTCTGCACACAGTTTGCCTTTTTTACTGTTGCGCTGATTTGACTTGGGGCTTGTATACATCTTCTCCAAATAAAAGTTGGGACCACTGTTGGTTCATCAAAGCTCCTCGGGATCCGATCAGCCTGGGGAGCGGACTGTGGGAATCTCCTTTCAGGTCTTTGAGGGCAGCAGGCCCCCTGCCACACGCCAGCAAAGGCAGGGGAAGACAGTATGTGTGTCCTGCCATTCCCCTCCCAGCTGATGCCTTGTGCTAATAGAAGGAAGCAATCACCTTCCCATTGTCCAAAAGCTACTTCTCACTTGTCTTAAAGGGTTGTTATAATCATCTTAGAATACAGAAGTGCCTCAGTAAAATCTGGAGAGTTCGCAATATATGAAAGAAAAGAGTCATAAATCTACCCTGTGTCTCTGGGACAGTAGGTGTGTGTGAGACAGCCGGGGTCTTTGCATTTACATGAATACTTTCTTGTTTTGGAAGACTAGTATGTCTGTGTTTGGGTTAAGACGCCCTCCCGCCAAGCTTCAATTAGGTGAGGCTGGTAAAGTAAATAAAAGGTAAGGGATTGTGTCCATACATGACTTCATTCCATCCTTTGAATGACTTTATCAATAACTGCTAGAAAGCGAGACTCAGCAATAACTGTGTCCAGCATATACCTCCAGCTGGCAGAGAGCCGACCTTATTTCCTAAGGCTTTTGTGGTGCGCCCAGACTAAAACCCTGTATCCTTCACCATCAGATGCATCCAGTGTAGTTTTTCTAAAATGATTAATGTTTTCTTTGTCTAGGCTTATGCTAAGAGTTAATCCAAACTTCTTGAGCTATGTGACACTCACCCACAGGTAGCTGGCGCCTCAGGACTCACAAGTGTGATGACTCAAATGTACACGTTGTATGTTCATTTCCCACCCACGGTCCACATTTGTATTCTCTATACTCAGTTTCTCTGGCTGCCCTGTGAACCCAAATTTAAGGACTGTGTTTAAGTGCATGTCGGGGTGGGATACATGGCGGAGGGGTGTTCTTAATAGCTTTTTACCAAATCTGATTTGTGTCCGTTTTTCCAAAACAATTTCCTATTTCTAAAACTGCTGCCAATTAGTGGAAATTTGGAATCTACAGTTATCCTGAAGTAGTAAGAGAAAAATTCAGAAATTATATTTGCAGAGCATTGTTCATTTAACGATTCTTCCTAATTAGACCCCAGGGCAATGGCTTACTCTCCATTAGTTGAATATTATGCATTTCCTGACATCTCACTGCCCCCTAGTGCAGCACGCTAGTGAGTGCATCATTCTCTGCAGACATTCTTGATTTGCATTATTACTGTCTGATCAGTCCATTTCATGCTTACCTGGCTTCTGGGAATGTGATTTGACACTAATCCATGACTCAAACCAAGTCCTTCATGGGTCCCGTTTTGCCAAGTAGATCCTATTCCAGGAGCAGGAGTTTTGGGGCAAGTGAGTACAGATGGGAAACAGAGTCTCAGCTGGACTCTACTCTCCAGACCCCTTCCAGTGGAGAAATTGGGCCCAGAATTTTCAGTATAGTACCATGAACTGGAGGAACAAATCTTGTGTTAAGGTGCATCCAGACCAAAATAACAAGAACACTCTGCTTGGAGAGAGACAAACTTAGGAAATTTCCTTAACGTCTTCGAGCCTTCATAAAACTGTCATTGATTAAAAAAAAAAAAAAAAGTAACCTTAAGATGTCTTAAGGCTTTACTACATGATCTATGTTTGAAGGTTTTATACACTTTAATATGTGAACAGATCTTCATCTATTATGTTTACTGTGAATAAGATAGCCATGAACTGCAATTTAAGGATTATGGAAAGGCATTCTGACCCCAAAGACTTGCTCTCAAAACTGTTCTAAAACGATCACAAAATTGTAAGCCACGAATGTGGTCTCCATAAGGTTCTGCCGAGATGACCTTGAACAAGTTGTTGGACTTTGCTGGGCCTCTGTTTTTCCATCTATAAAGTATGAGTGCATCTATTTAAAGGGATTACTCAGGGATTCAGTGAGATAACATATGCCCGGCACATGGCAGATTTCAATAATTGTCAGTTCCTTCTTCCTCCTCCCTTATTTTCTTCTGGTCTGAAATAGTCAACACCTGCCTTTGACACCAGATACTAATGGGTAGGTGGTGGGCTAGAATGTCCTCTTTCTGATGTGTCCCCCCAAAGAGTGGACAGACAGCCCTTCCTTGTCACCATTAGCTTTCAAATCCAGGCAAGGACATTTGCAGCAGGGAGGGGGGGAGGTAGAGGTGATCAAAAAAATCTTCCGTGTGGGAAAGTGTAACTGATGGGAAGTCTGGGGTTGTGCCTGGTTAGGAACCATGTGTATTATTGTGCGACATTAACCATGTCGCATTATTATGAGAATTTAAGAGATTTTCCTCTTCCGATGATTATAGTTGCAGTTTTGACTGTGGGAGCAGACCAAAGAAAAGAAAGGCATCCAATATGGGAAAGGTCATTTTGCGATAGTGGCATTTTTTTTCCAAAAGAATACATTATAAATGTCATACTTACTTTTCAGAGTCAGAATATTAAAAAACAAAAAAACAAAAAAACAGATGCTCAGTCTTCTTATGGTGAATTAGCAAACAAACAAAAAAGGTCTTAAACTCAATGTAACAGGGAAACACATCCAGCCACACCGACATGCACACACACACACACTTTGTAGGTAAAATACACATTTTTATACTTTCATGGGTGGTTTTCGTTTTGAATTGAAAATTGAGCAGGTTTTGTTAGGTAGTTAGTAAGTTTCCATGGAGAGAAGTAAAGAGACATTTAAGGATACTGATTATTGGATGGTAAGGAGGAATTTGCATTAAGGTCTTTTCTCCAACCTATACCCTAGTTCTGTCATCACCCTGACCATGGACTGGACAGAAAACAGAGAGAACCACAGAAAATTATGCATTTCATTACATTTGTGTAAAATCTCTTCACATCATCTTAGACATTGTTTTGGAATCCACTGACAGGCAGCTTTACTCTATTTGAATCAGATCTTCAGAGGGACATTAGATTTTGCCCTGTCCAATCCCTTTATGCTATAAATGGGGTTGGTAAGGGCTGGAGAGGTCACATGGCTAGAGTGCCCTCCTTTATTATTTATTTCTCTTTCCGAATGTCTTTATCATGTTTGCTTATTCCATTTCCCCATATGATTGTTAGTGTGCGAAAGTCATAGACCCTGGTATGCATGAGACTCTCAGCACCACACAGCGGGTAATTCAATAAACTCCATTCTTAATCTCTGGGGAAATGCTTCTTCCCAAGAGAAATTATCATTATAATAGAGAAAGGGATTACTGAATAAGAATATTGTCTTTGGTAACATTTCTTTTAAATTATATGATGCAACATTTCGTGTCCAAGTGTAATTTTGTAGCCTATGTCCTGGGAAGGGAAAGGACTCATTTGTGAATTAGCAATGAGATTCTTGTGTTACACGAGGAGGAAAAGATATGTCCTAGTTCTGTGCTTTACAAAAACTTCAGGGATTACATTTTTACCCCATATAAGGCCCCTTTGGCAACTCATTCAATATTACCCAACATTCAGCAAGTATTGATCAAGCTCCTCCCATGCCTCGGCACGATTTAGAGTCTTAGACTGTATCAGGGAACAAAAATAAAGATTTCTGCTTTCAAGATTATGTCTTAATATATATTTGTAACATATGAATGAACTATTTCTTCCCAGTACCAAATTATTCTTGGACAGCATTCTAGTGAAAGCATGTCATTTTTTAAACACTGTCTTCCTTAAAATGAAAGGTCTAGTTTCCGAAGAAAATGGTTTTTTGGTCTAGTTGCATGAAATTTGGCACAACACTGCCGCCTTGCGGCTACTTGAATCAGGAACTTACATACATTATGTGGTCAGCTCTTGTCTTTTAAGGTAAAGTTTAAAGGGAAAATTATCTTGTTTTAGTGGAAGCCTTTGACACAAAATTACCTACCCAGGAATATTTAGAATTTAATTCCTTCTGCTTTTTTTTTTTTTTAATAGAATGATTGGAAGGGCTCCGTCGCTTTTGTAGTTGGAAACCGGACTGAAGATGATCTTCTCATCAGAGCCCTCACCCTTGCTGTCCAGGTCCCTCAGCGGAAATTCTTCAGTATCGTGTCCTGGCAAGACATTCTCCAGCAGGTACCTGTCCTTTCCCATCTCGAGGCCCCGTGAAGACTTTTGTGCTTAAAATAATAGAATAAAATAATAAAATAAATACAACTATCGTATTCTTGGGCTGTTTGGTAAATTGGGGTGGATTATTTTAAACAAAACTTAGCTAGAATAAATTTGCATTGTTTAATCTGGAAGAATTATTTTGGTCCATTATTTAGGTCCATTTTAGGCCCTTTCAGCACTCATTCATTTGACAAAATTCCTGTGGCCATACCAGGCTCCATGCTAGGCTCTCTGAGGAATTATTTATTCAATAAAAGATTTAATAATAATAAAGACTAAACTATTTACTGTTCCAGGGAAATCCATAGCAAGAAAAATTAAGTCTACAGAGAAACCTAGCTTGTCAGAGGGCAGAGAGGAATGACCACATAGAAAAGTCCTGTCAGGTGGCCCATACTCACACGATTACTAACAGCTTACCAAAGTGACTATAAATATTTTGCCTCATTGATGAGTATCTCTTCCTTGCTAGGTTTCCCAACCTTTCAAGCCACCTAGGTATTTGAAAGTTACATATATCTAAGTGTTCCTTAAGTATGCCTTTCTTCTTCATTATAGATGAATTTAATTTTCTTACAGATCAATGAATCAAATGCATTTCTTGAAACTCCATCTAAAAAGGCAAAGAAACCTGTAGGCAGTAGTGCTCCCTTATATTATGAGGTAGGTGAACATCTTTATTGAAGAGATTTTTGTTATTTTTAGAAAATGAGAATTGAAGTAATACTCTTATATTCATGTTAAAAATTTTTTTTAATTCATTCTTTGAAAGCAAATTCTTGCTTTGCTCCTCATTGGAGCTGCCTGATGGCAGGCACTTAAAAAATCTGCCTCTCTTCTAACAAAATCCCTCTCTAGGAATAAAATTGTCCTAGATTGTCTACACCATCACTGTATCCAATTAAAGACTATAAATCAGAAATTTTTCTATACAAAAGAGTTGGGTCATACTTTTTCATGGTAATTATTGAGTGAGTGGTGGTATTAAAGGGAGCTGTATGATTAGTGTATTACGAAGTGTTAGTTTCACCAAAGGAACAATGTAAAAATGCCGTAGAAAGTGTTTCCTGTACAAGACAGAGACACAGCTGTTAAAATTTTCCATCAGTCAGCAAGATTTGGGCACATTTTCTATCCTACTTTAACCAACATGAAAATAAGGACAATTTTTAGGTTAATCGTCCATTCTGTTTCTAGCAGATGCTTAACACAAGAGTCTGGCCTGGCTGACCACTGGGCTTATGCAAAGACTTAGAACTCATGCTCGGTACAGGGGGATTGCCTCTCACACTGCCTTGTTAATATCTAACTTACAGCTCACAAGAAGCTATAAAAATCCACTGATTAATTAGAATATCACTTAAAATTTGTCAGGCACTGTTTTACGGCTCTTCAGACTGAAAGCATAAAGATTTTTGGATCTTTCTAAGACAAACTTGTTTGCACTTTATTTCAGTGATCTAATAAAGTTTTTATGTGTCTCAGGTCTTGGATGATTTCTTAATGGGCTCTTTAGTATTGCCTAAGTACTATCTGAACAAGTTTCATTGGATTTATTTACGCTTGACAATAATGTGGATTTTATAGCATTAACTCTTGCTACACTACTCTCACTATCACGAAAAACTGATTCTATGCTTTTGGAGTCAAATAACATACCTTCTGGCTTTTGTTGTGATGTGCTAAATGTGCGTGCTCCAGTTGAAACATTATGTGATACCTGGATTTAAAATACTGGAAGTTTTCTTCTAAAGTAGCCATAGAAATCCCTGTCCAATTCTCGGGCCTGGGACCAATTAGCCCCCCAAAGAACTCTTTCTTCTTCAAAGATGCTCAGTAAAAATCAGAGATGATAACAGGCCAGTTTTGATGTCTAATCTGGACAGACATTTTGACTTGGATGTGGGATAGCGCAATGTTACAAATCCAGAGTTCAGTTAGAAAGCCATTCCTTTCCAATATGTGCTGTGACTTTGGGTTGTGAATCCTTCACTCAGGGGAGGTCCATTTCACATCTGGCTCTACCACATTCTTCCAGGGGAGCATTTGGGCAATAAGCCTCCCACACCCACTCACACACCCTTTCCTGAATGGTTCCAGAAAAAAAGGGAAGGCAGGATGAGCACCACAGAGATTGGACCTTGGGTATACCAGACATGCATCAACATCAATTTGCTTCGGTAAAAACAGATATAGAACATAAAACAAATTCAGGCTCCTGATCAGCATCAGCCAACGACAGAAGGCACATTTGGAGAAGAGGGTACATTTCCAATCTCAGTCCCTTCACATTTAGGACCTGTTCGGGAACTCTGTCACTTGGTACCTCATCATCCCAAGTGAATTGAAAAGCTGCAGGCAGTGCCTACTGAGAAGCCCAAGGTGGTTGTGATTGTGAGTGGTGACCACAAGGCCCAGACCCAAACGCTTTCGGGACTCGTGAACTTTTAAGACTCATGAGTCTATTTCTGCTTGAATTCTTGCACAGTCTAGGACACTTGCCACAGTTAAACTCCTCAGGAGCCTGTGTGCGAAGTCTTGTATTTTCTTTCTCAAAGGAAACTCTGCACTGGGGAAGAAAAAGTAATCTAAGAAAGTTGTTTATGTTGCATGCGAAATTCATAGAGTTCTGTATCCTCCATTTTGGAGGGAGAACTCAAGAACCAAGAACTGTGAAGGCCATACCCTTACATTTACTTCTATTTGTAGGCTACTCTCATTGGCCTTAAATCAGAGCCTAGTTGTTCTCACTTTAAACAGTTCTAACCAGTTTGGCTTTCTGGTTTCCTTGCCTGCAGTCAATTAGGAGCAGCAAATTAAAGGGAAATGTCACCATAGTGCAGTTCATCCATGAGTAGTATTACATATTTCCAATAATGACTTGAAATGTCTGGGCTAGCAAAGACCACATTCCTAAGTGATTTGCTCAGGCTTTCACTTGGATGGCTTGGTGTTGTATACACACAGCCTCATTTTGAAATTGTGTAATTTCCCCTGAAACATTAGAGTTCATCTAGCCATAGGATTGTATATACGAAAAAGAGTCTTTATTTATAAACCACAGTTCTTTGAAAATGTGCTTGGATTTGTGCTAATGTAATTCCACAGAGACACAGCTATAGCCCATTTATTCATTCACCTTCTCTTTTTGGAAACCCATGTCCTGCTCCAGCAGAAACTACTCTAAGGACTCATATGGGAATGGGAAGAGAATATTCTCCTTTGTGCATGGTCTCAGGGATGTTAGCTATTACTTTATTATATTATTAGTAGTAGTTGTAGTATATAATAATGAGGATGAAAATGATGATGATCCCATGCACTGGCCTTACATATGAACATAATTTCCAGCTTGTAATCCTATTTGAGGATGTGGACTTATATGAAAATGTATACACAGATATTGTCTGCATTATATAGTCACCAGTTTTTACCAAATAGTGGTATTTTACCAAATACCAAACAATTAACAAGTACATTCTTGTTCAGCTTATAGACAGTGGGGGAGATATGAATATTATAAAGACTCTAACCTCAAGAAGCTTAAGGATTAGTTGGGGGGAGGGAGGAAAAGGTATATACTGACAAGGAGTAAATGGTCAAAAAAATGTTTGGTAAAGGAATGAAGGGGCTCCTGGGTGGCTCAGTCGGTTAAGTGTCTGCCTTCAGCTCAGGTCATGATCCCAGGGTCCTGGAATAGAGCCCCACATCAGGCTCCCTGCTCAGTGGGGAGTTTGCTCCTCCCCCCCGCCCCTCCCTCTGCTTGTTCTCTCTCTCTCTCTCAAATAAATAAAGTCTTAAAAAAATAAAAGAAGTGAACAACATAACACACTGAAGTCCATGAGGGACAGATGAAGTGTTATGGGCATTCGAAGGAAGATGAGATTACCATTAGAGTGTGGTTGTGGGTAGGATCTAAAGAAGCCTTGTGGAGAAGGTGGCATTGGGAGGGAAAGGAAGGGTAGCTAATTTTGACCTTTTATATATTATACCAAGGACGCCTGGTTGGCTTAGTCGGTTGAATGTCTGACTCTTGATTTTGGCTCAGGTCAGGATGTCAGGGTTGTGGCATCTGGCCCCATGTCGGGCTCCATGCTGCTGAGTATGGAGACTGCTTAGGATTCTTTCCCTCCCTTTCTTTCTGCCCCTCCCCAACTCTCTCTCTTTCTCTAGTAAGTAAATGAATAAATAATTCCAATTAACCCATATCACAATTCTAAAAGGAGATATAAATATCGCCATTTTACATATAGGGAGATGGAGGCATAGAGAAGGTAGGAAGTTTATTAATTAGAATACTGAAGAACTTGGGTTTAGCCATAGTTAAATCCATAGACTCAAGTGTTCTTCTTTACCACAAACCCAGTACTTTTCCACTGGGCTCTAAGCTGTCCACCCTTGGATGAGTAGGTCTTGGCAGTCTTGACATTCAAATGTGGGAGCAGGCATTCCAAGAAAAGGGAACAGCTCAAGCAAAGGCATAGGTGTGGGAGAAGAGTGAATATGTACTAAATTTATAATTGCATGGTATAAGATATACTCAATAGGAAAGGTAAATTCTATAGGTACTTTAATTACAACTTTAAAATCCTGAAGACAGATATCTATGAGAAAATATTTCAAGCACTCAATAAAATCCATTCTTTAGGATTGACATTTATTTGCTAAATATGCACAAATATTTGGCTGCATGAGTCTGATGGCCCACAGAGAGAATTTGACTTGTTCGTTTGTAGGTTTATTCAGTCCTGTCCAAAACCAAAAAGGAAAATATTAAGGATCACTCAAAGCTGACTGAAATGTTCCCCATGAGAGAGGTCTACATGTTCCATACATGCAAAGGTTCTCCCACCTGTGATTAAATCTGATATGCAATATGTATGCCTTATTAGGAGATGTACAAATTTTGGACTTTGTGACTTTGATAAATTAGAAAGAAAAAACTACCCATTGGACAGGGGTTTGTTAATTCAACTTCTCTGAAGTCAGGGTCAACTGTCCTAAAAGTTTTAGACTCCACTCTATGTTTGGCTTTGCTTCATGATGGTGATCATTGTAACTTCCAATCCAGAAATAAGCAACCATCCAGACATGGGCCGTGGGTTTGCCTATCTGTGATTTAGTCAGAAAAGACAAATTAGGTCACCACAAAAAAACTTTTAAAAACACAAAAGCTTGCTGAAACAAAAAACATCTATAAAGAATAAACGTTTGTATGCCCTAGTTGGTGACTCACTTATTTTAAAAATTAATCAATTCTATACAACAAACAACCTGGACAATCTGAAAGATGATGTGATACAGTGTAGTTCTATGAATACCAATAATTATTAATTTTCCTCTTAACTCCTACCAGTAAAAAAATAAGATGTTATTTTTTAACTGGTATATTTTAATTAAGATAAATTAATTTCTTTTTCATTAGGAGATCATTCTGGGAGATCATTAAATATGGAAAGATTCTTCTGATGTTGGATTTGAAAGTAATGAATCAAATGCAGTTTAAAAAGATACAGATTGCAAATTTTATATATAAAGATCTAATTAGTTTCATCACGTTCTTAAGATACTTTGCTGCTACATTGGATTAATTTATCTCCAGATGTAATCATTTCATTTTGTTGGTTCTTATTCCTATGCATGTAGATATATTCTTCGGCTCC